CGGCTCTCGCCTGTCGTCGCTGCACCGTCACGGCTGGCGCGGCACTGCGGTCTGAATTTGGGGACCTCTGGAAGTGGGGTGCGCTTGAGAACCTTCTGATGACACTTGCTCCTGTCTCCTGGCGGTTTAATGCTGCTGGGGTGCGGCGATGAGGGCCTGGCCAAGGGCTTCCCGCAACCCTGGCAGCATGGGGCGGCTCGTCTGCCCGAGGCTCAGCACACCGCGGCAGCTGGCTTTGGGCGTCCGCGTCGCAGCCCCCCTGTTCGTATTCACACCCCAGACCCCACACCAAGAACGGGAGAGAAATGGAGCAAGCGCCTGTTGGGGGAGGCTTGGTCTCTGTGCGCGGTGGGACCCTGCCGTCGGGGCTGGACGTGCCGGCTGTTTCCTGCCGGTCGCGATAGCGTGGCTGGGACAGGGGCGTTTGCCGGCTGCAAACCAGATGGGGATTATCGGCTCCTCGCAGGGATGCCGCTGGAGTGCTGCGGGAAGGGTGCCCGCGCTGTCCTGTTCCCTGCTCTTAGAAGTGCCAGAGGTTTATACTGCGTTTTAAAAGTGTCCTGAGTAATACAGACACTTTTAAAAATAAAGTAGAACCTTTGTACTTAGTTGGATATTAATTTCTGATAGATTTTGAAAATATAATTTTATTTCAAGATAAACATTTTAAAGTAAATTTGACTATATTACAGAAGCCAGTTTTCAGGCATAACTGTATCTTAATCTAGCTAAACAAAATCCCGAACAATATACGAGTACAGGTTTGTTATCAGTGTTTTATAAAAGTCAAGCCCTGCAATTTGTAGAAGTGACAAACAGTTCCTTGAAACTTAACAGCATCGTCCTCACCCAGTGACATCTGAAGAATATCTTCTGGCCGGAACTCGGTCAAACATTTTGGCTAAATTCGGTTGAGACGGTTTGGAGGAGGTGAGACAGCAAGGAGCTTGTTTCTTTCCGTCTTCCATTACGTGTATAAAAGCTGGCTGAGAGAAGCTGACGTTTACTAGGTCTAAAATGCCGAAGGACTTGATGACCATAAGCAATTGAATCTATTTCACTAGCAACATACAATAACGATACTATAGCTTTAGTGTAATCAGTCTGTTTGGAAG